ATTAACAACTTTTCCAGATTCCAGCGAAGCATTAAACTATGTACCCAATGAAACTTTCATCTTTTGATTTGATATCTATTTCTGAAAAACTAGTTTCATAAAAGATTGATGATTGAAATTCTAAAGAAAAAAATTATTAATACTAATTAAATGCAAGTTAGTAAAGTTTATGCTTCATTCAGAATTTATTAAATATCAAAGTTTCTTGTTGAAATTTAAATTATAACTTTTATTTTATACAATTTTCAGCAGAAACACAATAGGCTAATACTAACCAAAGAACAATTAACTTCAGTAGTTTCCGTATCTCTTGCAAGAGCTTGATTTTGATGTTCAAACATATTTTTGGACATACTGTTTATAACTAAACTTTACAGTGCGCACTTGGTCACAAATCCGTTATTACAAGAAAGATCAAACGCATTTTCAAACAGTAGTTGTAGCTTGTTAACTGAGCAGGATCTATTTTAGTTTTCACATGTCATCAACGGTAGAATTAAAATATCCTGACTGTAGTAGCTAAAGAGTGTAGATTGTTTGGCAAATATGCATCGCTTGGAATAGCCTGAGAATCGAATAGATAAATTCCACACAACCTTAACCAAAATAAAATATTTTTGGAATCATAACTTTTTCCCATGCTGAATCAAAGATACCTGCAAAATTTGAACAACAAGTAATAACTCCTGAAAACTGATCCATTAGATCTTGTGCTACGGAACGATAATAAATTTTCAGTAGCTTGAATATGATACAGTCGCATAGCTGAAGTTTGATGTGTGTATGTGAAGCCATGAATGTTTGATGTGTGTGTAGACATTTCAAATATATGTATTTGGTTCTGGATTGCAATACTAATTAGCTCAAGGAAGTTGTGAGAACCGTGCCTATCTAGAATCAACAATTAAGAATGTTGTGTGCCAATATTTTTTCAAAAATGTCTTTGTAAATCATAACTTTGCTAGTTCCTATTTAGTTTAACCAGTTCCTTTTGAACCAGTTCCAATTTGTTACTGGTTGTTTCAGACTCTGTGTTAAAACCCATTAAAGACCTGGACGTCTTTCCCTTTGCCATCATTTAAGGTGAATAAACTTGCCCTGTGCATTCATATGGGCAATCACAGTGATTGACTCTCAATTTTCACATGTTTGACTAATGATAGTTTTTTGCCTTGTGGTGAAACACTTTTCTTAGTTTTACGTTAATTTGTAGACCAGTTTCATCCATATATTTTACTTTATCCATACACTGATGCCCTGCTGAGGCTGTTCTCTCAGGTTGTCGCAGAGTAAATCTATACCCATAACTGTGCTTAATCAAAGACCACCACTGTTTACTACACTGTTTAATTGGATTTTTTTTTCAGAACAAATGTTAGAGTAGATTTTCTTCCTGGCTTTGCTCCATTAGCCATTTTCCCATAGAACCTGTCTTTCAGTGTGGCGCATTATGCATTATACAATATTACTGCTTTACGCATTGAAAATAAGGATTCTGATCTGACATGGTTAACTGCACTCATCATACTTTCTTTACTTCATTTCATGATTTTGCCCCGTTTCTTAACAGCGACTGGCTGATCAATTGAATGATTCGTATTATTTAACACAAATGTCATGTGCTCTACTATTCGAAGTTAAAGGAGTTGTACCATCGTGAAGATGAGTTATTTTATAACTTTTTGAAACTTATGTTGTAGTACCAGTTTTTCCAATGGACTCTCTGTGTAATTGTAGTAATGATCTGCACCCCTTCCCCATCTCTTATTTTACAATATTAATTTTCAAGACCGAGATAATATTCTAGCACAAAATGTCATATTAATTTAAAAAAAATGCTCAAAATTTAAAAAAGCAGAAATTATTAACATATGTTAAAAACCATATGTAAATAGTTTTAACCCAACCCTAATCCTAGGGACGGAAAATGTACGGGAGTATTGACCATGACCTGGAGGTTACTAAGTAAAAACAGTTCGTGAATGATTCCAAATAAATTTCAGGTAAATCTCTGCAATATTAGTTTATATTACATGCCTAATCTATAATTGCCAAACCGGGTGAGGTTGGATGCATTGGGCGAGAATATATTTATTCGTGGGGCGAGATTGAGTTTTCTAGGGTAGGTTGGACAGAAAACAATTTTAAACATAATCTACCATTTCTAACAGAATAAACTATGGATAAAAAATAAAACTATAATTTTATATGTACAACGACATATTTACTCGGTTGAGTTAGATAAGTTAGTTTGAAATTGGCAAAAAACTTACTAAAAACTAACAAAATTTCATTGACAGATATCTTTTTAATTACAGTTTCTTTGAGGTCAAGGTTGTTTTAATCTTGATTAAGACTGATTCTCTGCACTAAATGAATGTTTTTTGTTGATATAATGGTGTGTTCACTGACTTGAAAGCAATCAAAGATAGTGGGCGAGATTGAGTGATGGGCGAAGTAACGTCAAGTTACCCTTAAGCTAACGTTAGTTTGAAATCAGAAAAAATTTTGATACGACTTTTCACTTTTGAAATTTAATGACTCGAACACGTGATCCCGCTATGAAGATTTGTATATGGTGGTACTTTTATTATATATCAATATCAATATAAATTTTTCTAATTAAAATCGTAACCCAAAAATTGTTTTAAGTCTTTATAAACATTTTAAGCAGTTTTTGCCATATAAACTAAAACAAACAAAAAAAAACGACTCAATTTATTACATTTTTTAATATATTTTTAAATGTATGTCTCATTCAAGATGTATTGGGTTACTTTTGTTTTTGTTGGTTTACTCAAAGTGTAACTAGCAATGGTTTATTAGCAATAATTTTTAGTCTAAAGTAAATAGCAATAATTTCTAGACTAGAAAATTAATTATTCAATTTAAAATACATAGCACCCATTGTCTAACTATTTTTGTTTTTCTATAATATATAGACTATATACATCTATATAACACAATGTATTTGTTTTCAACAGCTTTTCACCAATAGAAAATTCATTCTTTATCCTATTTGATTCTTGAAAACTTTTTACCTTTCAGAATAAAGTAATTAATATTTTATATGAGTATACTACAAAAGTGATATGATTAAATGGATAGTATCTGAGTATGCTGTAAAAATGATATTATAAAATTTACAGTCCCTCAGTATACTATAAACCTTATGATGTCAAACTCTTATTATATCTAAGTTTGATAGACTTTCAAAAGCTTTTAATATGCTTCCGCCTTACCAAAAATAAATATTTCTACTTTTTAAACTACTATCTTAGATTATCATTAATTACTCTATTATAAATCATATATATATATATATATATATATATATATATATATATATATATATATATATATATATATATATATATATATATATATATATATATATATATATATATATATGTATATATATATATATATATATATATATATATATATATATATATATATATATATATATATATATATATATACAAATACACACATAAACTAACACCATACTTAGGTTAGCACTCTGATATCAAAAGGAGCTACTAAGGGTGTTAATGCATACATCAACTGACAATCTAGGGAGAGCATGCAAGGAAGTACTTTTATGCTGCTTTAGGGTTCAGTTGGGGCAGCTACTGTTTTTTTTTTAGTATTCTTTCTCTTCTTTTTTTTTTCCAAAAAACCTGAATGGATATAGCCTATATCCATTCAGTTTTTTTGTACCTATATTATAGGTAGGTAATACCTATATTATAGGTAGGTGAAATAAAGCAAATGCATATCTTATACACTATAATATAAATCTAAATATATTTTTGTGAAATATATTTATTAATGGATTTTAAATATAAATGTGTGTGAATATATATATATATATATATATATATATATATATATATATATATATATATATATATATATATATATATATATATATATGCATTGTATTTAACTTATATAATCATAATTTTATTTTATTTTTGACTGTTATCAAAGTCATGGTGTGAACACTTATTATGATTTATTATCATTATTATTTCTTATTATTATTTATATATTTAATAAAATTAAATTTAATCTGCATCTTTTTAATAAAAAAAAAAAATTCACACCATGACTGTTATCAAAGTCATGGTGTGAATTTTTTTTATTTATTAAAAAGATGCAGATTAAATTTAATTTTATTAAATATATAAATAATAATAAGAAATAATAATGATAATAAATCATAATAAGTATAATTTTTAATTTCCATAAGTTAATACCGTAATTTCTTCCTTCAAAAGCAATAGAAATGTTAAATCAATTTTTTATAACTGCTTATTTTTATTTCTACAATTTTTTTTTTAATTAATATGATAATTATATTTAATTTTATACTTTTAAAAAAAAGAGTATAATATTTTTATAGGATATAATGATAAATGTATTTAATTAATACCATAATTAATTTAATTATGGTATTAATTATCTTATTATTTTAAACATTTCTTATTATTATTTTAAATAATAATAATTATTATTATTTTAAACTATTATTTTTAATTATTATTATTATTTTTTTAACTAAATATTTTAAATTATTATTTAAACTAATTATTTTAAATTATTATTATTATTATTTTAAACATTTCTTATTATTATTTTAAACAATTAAAAATTATACTTATTATGAGTTATTATCATTATTATTTCTTATTAATAATTTAAACATTTCACCAGTTTCAAACAAAATCTTAATTTTGACATTTGAAATTTGAAAAAATAACAATAGTTTTAATAATTATAAATTAATTTTAAAATAAAATTAATTTAAAAATGCTTATTTAAAAACTATTGCAACTAAAAACAATTTTTATTTTTCTAATTTTATTATATTTTTGTTTTTTATTAAATACATTTTTTTTATTTCTACCTAGCGTTTATCTATTTTATCTACTGAGAGTTTGTGTTTTTATTTTTATTAAAAAATGAAATCTTATTTTTGAACTTTTTTTTAGGCATAAAGTATTTGTCAAACAATTCAAATATCAAAGATGGTTAAGTTTACAATCAATATCTCATTTTGTTAAACAATTCAGATATCAAAGGGAAAATATGATTGACTTTTTTTGATCTTCTTTGAGCATCTCATTTTGTTAAAAGTTTTTAGGTATAAACTTTACTGAAATATTTCTGTAATAATAATAATAATAATAAATAATAATAATAATAATAATAATAATAATAATAATAATAATAATAATAATAATAATAGATATAAAAAATAAAAATAAATATTTATATATTTTATAAAATTTAGAAAATTGAATGAATTAGTTTCAAATGTTTCAAATGTAATATATTTTTTTTAAAATCAAGTTTTATTCCTTTTTGAATGTAAGTTAAGAAACTATTATTAACTTTGCACCATGCAATTTTACCCCCTGCACAATTTTTGAAAAATTTGAGTTTTTTTGGAATAGATATATTTTATTATTTTATTTCTTTTAAATGCTGATAACTGATGACTGTAATATTTGGTGAATTTCATAATTTAACTTCATTTACTATATTTAGAACTTTTATTTTGTTTTGATATTTCTTTGTATTAGCAATTAAAATAATTTTCATCAAAGTTCAAAATTCATTTTTTTATTATCTATGATTTATTGTTGTTATTTTAAAAATGCTTTCAAAAGTCTATGTAATAATATTTTTCAGGTAGTATAATGGCTGGAAAAGTCAATAGAGTAAAATGTACCTCAAATGAAAAAGATGTACCCTTGGCTGGCTCCAAGGTGCCTCCTACAAATAATTCAGAATCAGCAATGGATGAGTATTTCACAAAGTTAAATTTATATCGTAAACCAATTGTCAAAGATGGCTCATGTTTATTTCGTGTTGTTGCTGAACAGGTTGATTACACTTTTTTTTGTCTCAGGAACACATGATCCTATAATAATCCCTTGAGTTTTGATAATCTATGTGTACATTTATTATAATCTGTATTAGATACTTTTTTAAAAAGGTTATTTTCAACTCCCCTGGTAGGAATATTCACTTACCAGGGGAGTTGCTTTTGTGCACAGGGTGTCCACTCTGCTGTAAAAACTAGACAAAAAGGCTGTTTTTAAAAAACATGCTGGAAAAACTGGAAAATTAATGCTTTAAGCAACATTAATGCTGGAAAAACTGGAATTTTTTTTCTTTAATTAGTGTTTAATAGCTTTATTTGTGTTCAGTTATTTTTGAAGGTTGTTTTAAGTCTAACTAACAATATTTATTCCTTTTTTTTTTTTTTTTTTTTTTTTTATTTGCATTCACTCCCAACAAGGCTGCAAGCAACCACTATTAAGTTGGGAGTTACTAGGAAAAAAAAGAACAGAGTTATAGAGCAAGGAAACAGTTGACAGAAGACTTGAAAAGTTGAAGGTTGTAGGAGTCAGGAAAACATGAAGATGGGAGAGAGTTCCAAAGGATTGAAGTGCGGGGAAAAAAACTAGATGAATAAAAGTTTTTAGAGCATGCTGGGACAGATACAGTAAACGAATGAGACTTAGCTGAATGACGAGTAAAACGAGAATGAATTTTAGTTGATGGAACTAGAGATGATAACTCCTTTGAGCAGTGACCATGATAGTATCTGTAGAAAAGAGAAAGAGATGCAACTTTACGACGATGGGAAAGAGGTTCAAGCTTAGCAGATAGTCCAGGTCCAACAACATTTACAATGCGTTTTTGGACCTTGTCAAGAAGAGAAAGTGAATCGTTAGAAGAACCAGCCCAAATATGACAACAGTATTCCATACAGGGACGAATAAGAGATTTGTAGAGGTAGAGAATGAAATCAGAAGTAAGGAAATGACGAGCACGATAAAGAGAAGCAACCTTAGCAGAAGCTAATTTAGCAATCGATTGTATATATGGTTTCCATGAAAGGTCAGTAGTAAGCGATAATCCAAGAAGACGTAAAGAGAACGACTCAGTAAGAGGATTGCCATTCATTAATATAGGAATGTTGACCATACTACGGTAGTTGTTTGCAGTAAGCAATTGGGTTTTTTTAGAGTTGAAATTCACAAGCCACTGTGAACCCCAATCTATTACTGAAGTGAGATCGGATTCAAGATCAGCTGCTTGTTCTAGGCGATCGAAAAGAGAAGACTTTTTGTCAAGACAGGAGTATAAAGTTGAGTCATCAGCAAAAAGAGCTACTTTAGATGAAAGGTTGTCAGGAAGATCGTTTATGTAGATAAGAAACAAAACAGGGCCCAGGATGGAACCTTGGGGAACCCCAGAAGTTACTGGAAATAAAGAAGAGTGTTGGCTTTCAAGGATGACTTTAATAAACCGTTCAGAAAGAAATGATTTGATAATCTCAAAAACTTTCCCAGAAACACCATATGAAGCAAGCTTATGGAGAAGACCAGCATGCCAAACTTTGTCGAAAGCTTTAGATATGTCGAGAGCAATACCCCTAGCCTCACTGCCTCCATCTAATGCACGATAAAATCTTTCAGTTACAGCAGTTAGCAAGTCGGCCGTAGAGCGAGAGGATCGGAAACTGTATTGATTGTCTGACAGTAGTTTATTTGACTCAAGATGAGATGTGAGAAATTTGTTGATCAAAGACTCAAAGACCTTGCTAATAACAGAAAGAAGACTGATCGGACTATAATTGGAGGGGTCAGAATTTTCTCCAGAGTTTTTGAATATTGGAACCACAGATGCCATTTTCCAACAAGCAGGAAAACAAGACTCAGTCAAACACTTGTTAAATAGTTTAGAGAGAATTGAAGAAAGTTCTGAGAACAATTCTGCAAGACTGTGACAGGAATGTTGTCTGGACCACAAGCTGTAGACGAGTTTAATTGAGATATGACTTTAACAACAGAAGCCGGAGTGATTTGAATGTCTAACAATGGGTCAACCTGTTTGACTGGAATGGAAGGAAGAGAATGTCCATAAGATTCAAGAGTGGAATTAGAAGAAAAGTTCTTTGCAAACAGTTCTGCCTTATCCCTGGGAGAGGTAACAAGATCAGTCCCATGAATGAGAGATGGAATGTTAGATCTACCCTTGTTAACAATGTTGTTGAAGATTTTCCAAAAGTCTTTAGAGCCTAACTTCTGCGATAAGATGCGAGATTTAGTGAACTGAAAATAATGGAGTTTAGCATCAGAAAGCACCTTTTTACATCGATTTCTTGCAATAATAAATAGCTGTTTGTTCTCAAGAGAGTTGTTCTTTTGAAAAAGATGAAAAAAATGGTTACAATTGGATATAGCAGCCGCACAAGAAGGAGAAAACCATGGAGTAGAATGAGGCTTGGCTTGAAACCGACGAGAAGGAATAAAAGCTTCCATTCCAGCCTGAATCCAGGAGGTTACGTAGGAGGCGCATTTGTCAGCTGAGAGAGAAAAAACATCAGCCCAAGGACCATCACGAAGAAAATCACGAAAGGAATCCCAGTTAGCTTTAGGGTAGTAGTAGGTGGTGCGATGATAAGGTGAGCTTAAAAAAGAAGTACGAGAAGAAAGATTTACAGAGATCATTGCGTGGTCAGAACCACCTAAGGGAGAAAAGGGAGAAATTGAACATAAGCTAGGGTCAGAGACAAGACATAAGTCAAGGAGTGAAGGTAAATGATTAGGGTTGTCAGGAAAACGAGTCACAAAGTTAACTATCTGAGTAAGAGATTGAGAAACGCAGAAGTTAAAGGCTTTAGTGCCAGCAGGATCAGTGGTGTTAGAGCCAAGCCATTCAGTGTGATGGGCATTAAAATCACCAACAACAACAATATTGGCAGAGGGGTAAAGAGAGAGGGCATGGTCAATTTGATCAGAGATAACATCTAAAAGAGTGCAATCATGGGAAGAAGGAGAACGATAAAGAACGAAGAGAAAGGTGATAGAGTGAAGAGGTGCTAGGCGAAAGCACGTAAAAGAATGGTCAAAGGATTCAAACCTGATTTCACGACAAATAGGGGAATTAATGCGTATGTAAACCCCTAAACCTAGCATGTGACTATTGGAGTCTTTACGAATCAAAGGATAGTACCCATCAACACTGACATCTGAAGAAGGAATTGCAGAACTTAAATTTGTTTCACTGAGTGCAAGCAAGTCTGGTGAATTTTGCAGGAGGTAAGACTCAACTGATGGAAAGTTGCTTCGTAGACCGCGATTATTTGTAAAAGATATATTAAAATATTTAGGTGGTGGGGATGGTTTTTTAGGTTTTAAATTTTTGCTTACTTTGGTCATGATTTGGGTTTAATGAGAACTTGACTCATTCATAGATAGAGCACAGCCTCCTAATCAATGAGCTATGCAGTTGTCTCAGTCCTGTTAATTAATCCTAAGCCGTGACATAGGGCTCCATATGTGGCCTTGACAATGCACACCAAAAGCATTAACAGGGACACCATCCATGCGCAACATGGCACTGTTAATACTCTGATATTTTGCAGCTGTTGATGGAATCAGCCTCTCTGAGAGCTACCACAGAATTCGGGAAACCTTACTACCAGCCGGCCTCAGAACCATTAAACTGAGTTTTAGAGCTGTACCCTCATATGGAGATAACAGGAAGAGTTGCATAGCATGCATAAGCAAAATTTTATAATTGCATAAGCAAAATTCATAAAATCAAAATTGCATAAGCATAATTGCATAAGCAAAATTCTATGAGTAGAGTCAAGGAGATCCAGCATTCATCATCCTAAGCAGGAAACAATGTAACACAGGTTACATCTACGCCAGCCTAATAGATGAAGAAGGGTTAGCTGAGGCTGGTTAGCAGAATTTTTCTGCTCACCCCTAAAGTCTAGAGGCCTTCTACAAGACAGTAGCAGGATGCAGTTAACATCTGCCCAAGATGAGTATTTTTATCGAGACACCATCTCTAGCCTTTACTCAACCAAGAGCCCCAAGACAGGGGATGTTTAGCTGAATGCAGTTAACATCTGCCCAAGATGAGTATTTTTATCGAGACACCATCTCTAGCCTTTACTCAACCAAGAGCCCCAAGGCAGGGGATGTTTAGCTGGATGCAGTTAACATCTGCCCAAGATGAGTGTTTTTATCGAGACACCATCTCTAGCCTTTACTCAACCTAGAGCCCCAAGGCAGGGGAATTTTTAGTCGGAGTTTATTTCTCCTAGCCTTTGCATAAGAAGAGCACACTCTGCAAGGCAGCAGGGCTTGTGGCAGGTGGTACTGGGTTACGTGATACCAGTAGCAAGATTGATCTTGATTATCCTGACCTGACCTGGAGTAGTTAAAAGGAGTTACTTCCCGCAACAGTACTTTGAGAAAACCAGGCATGACATTTCGGAAGTGCATTAGGAAAAACACTGCATCTAACAAAATACAGGAGTCTAAGGTGAGTGTACGTTTTGTAGTTCGAGTAAGTAGTTAGTTACTGAGCTCACGCTGCATTAGAGTATAAACAGAACACAAACAAACATAGACATAAAGTAACTTACGGGTGAACGAACACCGCGCCAGAGGTTCAGACAGAACACAAACATACATAAAAAACATAAAGTAACTTACGGGTGAGGGAACACCGCGCCAGAGGTTCAGACAGAACACAGACATACATAAAGAACATAAAGTAACTTACGGGTGAGCGAACACCGCGCCAGAGGTTCAGGCAGAACACAAACATACATATAACATAGATTTCAGGTGAGCTAATACAGTAACTAAGGCACCTCCAACTATATTTGGGGAAAAAAAAAAAAAAAATTACTATAGGCATGACTGATATAAGATAGTACTGATGACAGGAAGAACACTCCTTCCAGCCTTTGCTTAGATTGCAAATCCTGCAAGGCAGCAGAACATGGAACAGGTTGCACTGGGTTACATGTTGCCAGTAGCAGGATGATCATGAAGACCATCCTCCTGACCTGACAACTACTCCTGACCTGACAACAATTTTAAAGTTTTATATTTTTAATTTAGATTAGTATTATTATTTTAGTTAGTAAAAATATAGATTTAGTTAAAAAAGTGAAGCATCAAAGGCGATTTAAAGATGACTGGTTGAGCGATGATAATTTTAAAGATTGGCTAAAGAAAGATCTTGCAGATGATACTAAAGCAAGATGTGTTGTTTGCCACAGATCAATAGAACTCTCTTCAAGTGGGCGCTCTGTCTTGACAGATCACACAAAAGGATCAAATATAGAATTAAAAAAACTGTAAAGATTCTTTGCAAAACCAAAAGAGAAAAGTTCTTTACCATCTGTCCTTTCTGACTCTAATCAATTAAACAGAACAAAAAAAACAAAAGATGTTAGACTTGTGTGTCAAAAAACTAGATGTTACTATTACTGAAATCAATTGGCAGCTTTAAAATGGGGATAGTGGTTTTCTTTACATTCAAATAATGACTTAAGCCATGCTTTTACAGCTATGTTTCCTGACAGTGCCATACCTTCAATTTTAGATGGGTTGAAGCAAAACTTCATACAAGTTAAATCATGGTTGAGCTCCTTATTTTGAAGTAGTTTTGTTAGAAATTTCAAAACTGTCAGACATCCGTGTCTATTCTTTTGATGAGTTTAAATGAGGTTACTCAAACTTCTGAAATGGATATTTATATTAGATTCTGAGATATTCATAGAAATCATAGAAATGTCCGTTAATTTGGAAGTTTCTTAGGTCATACAATACACCAAGACTTATTAACTCACTTCAAAGATATTGTTAAAAATTTGGAAATAAAAAAACTATACCAAACATCAATGGATGGACCAAATTTTAATCTAAAATTTTTTTAATGAATTCAGTACAAGTTTGACTGATACTATTTATACATTCTCTTATTAACATCAGAATTTGCCGTTTGCATATTGCCCATGGCAGTTAAAAAATTGGAGAGACTGTCACATAATTGAATCTGAAAAAAATTTTGAATGCTGTCTATTATATTTTACATGATAGTTCTGCAAGGAGAGAAGATTATAAATCTGTTACTGGTTCTTTTGTCAATCCTCTTAACAAAGTAACTACTTCTACTGTACTAGCTACATTTAAAACATAAATTCACATGTTTAAAACAATCAATTTTATACATGGCATTTAGTTACTGGCAATTATAGTATGACAAACAGCATTTGTTGTGAAACAATGACTCACTGACTGATATAAAAGTATTGACAAGAGAACCAATATGACTAGATATGATTTTAAATGTTTATAAATGGTATTTGATTTATATTTTAGATGAGTTGAAAATAAAAAGGTGATTAACAGGTTGATCAAAGTGTGGAAAAATTTGAATAATTTTTCTTTCTTTTTGGAATGCTTTACCTAAATCTAAACAACCAAAATGTAAAACCTATGAGATATTAAAAAAATAAATGATCACTTCAAGATCATTTAAGCTACCCAAGTTACATTTCTTTGCTTTTATTGCAAATACAGTTGAGCCTTTTCTGAACAAATATCAGACAGATTGTCCAATAGTTCCATTTTTATACTTTGATGTCAAGAAAATGATATAAAGTTGCTTGAAGATATTGTAAAACCAGAGGTACTTGAAAAATGCAGAAGCTGGAAAATTTTAAAAGATCTTGATCTTTCTTAGACTAATAATCTGTTACCTGATGAAAAGTTTAACGCAGGCTTTTCTGTTTTTGAAGAACTACATCATCTGAAAAAGAATAGTCTGATAACATTGTCTGAAAGCAAAGAGTTCTTTAAGGTGGCCAAGAAATTTATTGTTTCAATGGTGAAAAGCTTTTGTGACAAATCTCCATTGAATTATTAATTTATAAGAGCATCCAGTATCTTTGACCCTAATGTCTTGATGGAGTTGACAAATCAAAAATTGGTTGATCGTTTGAAAACTTTACTTGGGTACTTCATGAGTTTAAGGATTTTATCACCACAGCAATGTGATTTGGTGTTATCTTAGTTTAAAAATTTTATGGACAATGAAGTCAAAGTCATAAAATCAGAATCTTCAAGTTTATTGATCCAAAGGATCGACTTGATGATTTTTATTTTCAATGTGCTTGTGTCAGCAATTACATTGAATTGTCTTTTGTCATTAAATTAATTTTAACACTTAGTCATGGCCAAACTGCTGTTAAGCGTGGTTTTAGCATAAACAACTCTTCTGTTAAAACAAACATGACACCTTCAAGTATTATCTCCCGGAGAATTGTAAATGATTGCCAATGATTTAAAACTGCACACAGTCCAAATCACAGCACGATTGGTCAAAGCTTTTCAATCAGCCCATCAAAAATATATAATTGAGTTGGATATTGCTAAAAAAAATTTAATGATGGAAAACAAGATCACAGAGTGTATGGAACTTGCAGAGAAAAAAAGTGACCTGAGTTATGTTAAGAAAGGATTAAAAAGAAAAAGTTTTGAAGGAAGAGGTTGAGTTTATAGAAAAACAAATCAAAGAAGTTGAAAATAAGAAAAAAAAATTGTTAAGTTAGTCTTATTTTATTTCAGTAAATCTTGTTGTTATATTATCTAAAGTTGTTTCTCCTTTAAAGTTTTCTGGTTTTGTGATTTATTGAGAAATTTAGCAATTTATTAATCTTAACTAAGACAAAAAATACTTTAAATGGATCGTGCCTTTCATAAGAATTTTTTTTGATATAATAACTAGAAACTTGGTTAGCCTACAAGTAGTTCTTTATTTTAAATAGTTATTTGTTTCTGTCATAAATGATTTGTTTTTGTTTTTAGCTTTTTTAAGTTAATTGCTTAAATTTGTCATTGTTATGACTGGCTCTTCAGAGTTTCATTAAGTTTAATTTGTTTTGGTAATTCTGAAATATGTTAAACTTTAAAAAAATGTTTTATTCAAGTCCTTGCTTTTGTTGTCTTTTTTCTGAATAAATAGTTCTCAATAGTACTGACTAGTTGAACAAATTATTATTAAGAGCAACCTTTTGTAAGAATCAGGCAGAGCTCAATGGTGACCCTCTTCAAAATTGGTAATTTATTTATAGTATGTTAATGCTATTCATACTAGATGGTAGATTTCAAACAAAAATTTAAAAAATATTTATTGGTTCTCTAGATATTAAACATGATGGTTTGATAAATATCTTAGAATATCTTAGAATGTTGACCAAATAGTGTCAATAGCATTTTTAAACTTAAAAATAGAATAAATTTCCTTTTTTTAATGGATATTTCACATCATTATTATTTATTGGCTAGTTTAGAAAAAATGATAAAATAAGTTAAGTAAACATTTCGGCCTGTCTAAAAATCATGCCTTAAAAGTACATTTTTAGTATAAATAGTGAAATTAAAAAAATCTTTAGAGAAGGTTATAAAATATTAGTTTTAAAGTAGTTCACTATAAAAGTTTTTTTTGCTTTGTTCTTACAAAAAGTCTCTTTTAAATAAATACAAGAAACTAATATGATTAATTTTTTTTCAACTTAATTAAATAGGTCTATCATACTCAAGCTAAGCATTACCAAGTTCGTCTGGAATGCATCAATTTTATGCACCTGCATAGAGAATACTTTGAATCTGTAAGTTTAATTATTTTTTTTTTAAGGATGAGGGGGAGGGGTATAATATTTCTGATTTGTAAAATTAATGATCCATGAACAATAAAAAGTTTTTTTAAAAATAAAAAACTGTTGGGATTGAAGCTAAAATATATAACTCTAAATGTGTGTTTAGATAAGCAATGTGATGTCACACTGAAATAGCCTGCTTCCAGGGGCTTCAGTACATACATCAACTATCTTAAAGCCTGCTGTCGCAAAGAATGCCTCTACATGGATTTAGGGTTTGGGCTTGGACAACAATCTTTTCTTTTGTTAATTTTTGTTTTTTTCTTCTTTTTCTAAAAAAGCTGTTTGCCGTAATGATAAACAAAACTAGTAGATAGATTATAGTTAAAGTACTCATCTTGGGGAGATGTTAACTGCATTCAGCTAAAATTTTCCTGCCTTGGGGCTTTTGGTTGAATAAAGGCTACACATGGTTCTTACACCATCTATAATCTTTACTCAACTGAGACAACTGTTTAGCTTATTGCTCTATCTATGAATGAGTCAAGTTTTCTTTAAACTTATGTCATGCCCAAAGTAACAAAATATATTAAACATACAAAAATCGTCACCTAACTGTTTCAATATATCTTTCAAATATTTGTGGTCTTTGAAGTAATTTACTATCAGTTAAATCTTACCTTATGCAAAATTCACCAGACTTTCTCATTGTGAGACTACTTTAAATTTGGTTTTTCTATTTTCATATCTCAGTATTGATGGGTATTTTCCTTTGACTTGCAAAAACTCCAATAATCATATGCTTGGCATGAGCATTAACTTCGCATCAATGCACTGATTTGTCAAGAAATCAGGTTTTGAAATATGATTCATATATAAAAAAAAATATGTTCAAAATTTCTGTTAAAAATGTTGAGCAGTTGACAAGATATTGCAATTTAAAAAATGACCTGTTTTTTTAAAATGATTTGGTTTTTAAAGTATTTAAAAAAAACAACTAGTTATATGACTCAACTATTAATAGTTGTTTGAAAAAGTGATCTATCTTTAAAATTATGGCTCCATATGTTGTTGTTTTTCAAGTCAGATTTTTTTGTGACAAATAACATAAAAAGTAACTAAAATTATTAAAATCAAAAAAAAATTTAGTCAGGGTGTTTTGAAATATTAGCTCCCAAAGTTGGGTCAATAATCTAGTTGTTTTATTAGTTTTAAAGTATGTTTTTTTCATATATACTGAACTCTGCATCAAAAAAGCATTATAAATGTTTATTATATATATATATATATATATATATATATATATATATATATATATATATATATATATATATATATATATATATATATATATATATATATATATATATATATATATATATATATATATATATACCTTTGTTATTTAACATTTTATTAAAGAAAATATATTTTTTTTAATGTTATGAATAACAACAAACTCCATTTCTTGCAATTTTCTTAAATAAAAAATTGCAAGAAATAGAGTTTTATGTAAGAAGAATTTAGCTCTATTTAGATGAAGCCCATGAAAACTATGTTATTTCATTACAGGGCATAAGTCATGGTTTTATTTGAGACTAGGACACAAATTGGCTAATGCTACTATCGGGTGCTTAACACAAAGGAAATAATTGATAATAAGATTATTTAATAAGAGGGGGAGGGAGTGAAATTTTTTTCCAAATCCAATAAACTAAGGGGTGGGGGGTTCTTAATTATAAACTTTTCAAAAACAGGAATAAACTATTTAGCTATAGCATGATAGTGTGGCTTGCGTTCAAATGCACATTTTTTAACAGCTGTTTAAATATAATTTAATAGAATTTAATATTATTTTATAATTACATGTGTTATATACAATGGTGAAAAATAAACAAAAACCTAAATTTTGATAAATCGAAATTTACAAGATTTATTAAAGGTCGAAAATTTTTAAAGCCTAATTACACTGTTTTTATTTTTATCAAAAAAATAAAAAAATAATAAAAATGTTGAACATCCAAAAAAAAACAGTTGACCGTTGATTCCAAGGGTTAACTGGTCAAATAGACTGCTCGCCTTCCATTTCTTATTTTACACACTGGTTTACATAAAAGCATGTTGTTTGAAAACGAAAGTAAATTAGGGAGGCTGTTTAAAACTGATTAGAAATTTTAATAAATTTATGAGGTACAAAAAAAAATTAGACTGTTGGGATTTCAATATGATATAGTTTCATAGTTGCATAGATAAAAATAGTGTAAGACTAATATTCCAAAAGAACTAAAAAAACTACCCCCCTCCCCTACTTTATTAGAATCTGGATCCACCGAGTCAAAAAATGCCCTTTCCCCTCCTCCTTCCTTCCTAAATGGTCTTGATCCACCAAATCAAAAAAATGTTAAAATTACTCCCCTTACTAGATGGTCTGGATCCATCCCTGTTATATCATAGTAAAATACAGATTCTAAATTGGTTGATGTTTTAAGAAATTTTTTGCTTGTTCTGCTTTTGGTTATTTTTTTATTTTACAATTTTAACATTTGTTAATTTCCTAATTTTTTTTAGTTTATTGAGGGATCATTTGAACATCATCTGTTTTTACTAAAAAGCCCTGAGGTTAGTTTTTTTTTTTAAAGTTTTATCGAATTTTTCTCAATTTAAGAAAACTAGTAAAGTAATAAACATGTATATGAAGTGTGTATAAGAAATTTAGTAACTTTTTTTTTGCGTCTAAGAAATTTAATTTTTTTTTTTTTTTTTTTTTGAGTATGTATTAGAAGGTAAGTAAATTTATAAGAAATTTAATAAACATTTTTTTGAGCGTATTTTAGAAATATAACGATATTTATATAACAAAATTTAAAATTATACATATCAAAGCTTGTGTGACTGAAGAAAAAAAAATCATAAAAAAAGGAAAGTTAATGTTTAAAATGATTTGTTGTGTATAAAATCATAAAAAATAATGTAAAATAAAATTAAATTTGTTGAAACAAAAAAGTTCAGAGAAACAAAAAAAAAAAAACAATTATTCCTATACTGCCTTGCCACAGCCAAAGGAAGCAAATCCACTTTTAGCCTACAATAAGATTAGTTTTAACTTGACCTACAAGTTTCCCTCAGTTGAAATTTAGGAAGCAAGTCCCTCATTATGGTAAATATAAATTGTTTTACTCTCTATATAGTTTAGTTTGCATAGTTTCTGGCAAAACGAATCATAAGAATCCCAGCACTAATAGCAAAAAATAAGGCAAAAGGAAGTTTTTTATGAAATAATGTTTCGGTGACTTGCTTCCTTCTGCCTTGGTGGGGCAGTATAGCTGTACCCTCTAGCCACTTTTTCAAGCTTAAATTAAAATATCCCGTACCTAGTAAACAACCGGGGTTGATATATGACCGGGGCCAAATTTGATAAAATACAGCCGGGGCCGGGTTTGTGAGGATGGTTTGAAGTTCCAAGTTTATAATAACTATTGGGAAGCCAAAAGTGTAGAACTTTGGCGTAATATCAAAAATAAGCTTAAAATACTAAACACTTCTTTGAGAATGTTAATGAATCAGAATGTCAAAGGTCACAGGGAGACTAATTAAGAATGTTAGAGAAGGACTCAATTAAAAAGTTAATGTTACAAGTTTTTAAAAAATTTTTAGTTCATTTTTTATAAATAAAAAAGTCTCAGTTTTTTACATTTTAGGCATTTTATAAAATACCTTCTCACACTCGCTATATGTTCTATATATATATATATATATATATATATATATATATATATATATATATATATATATATTTATTTTAATTCACCTCCTCAAGGCCGAGAAGGCCACTACAGACGAGGAGGCTACTTATTTGTGGTTATAACCCTCTCTCAACTCTATAACTCACACGAAACACGAACCTTGACGAACAAGGCCGCTGCGCAGAGAAACGAGTTGAGTGCGGTACTACCAGGGACGTGGTGGGGATTGAACTTGGAACCACTTGTTTTTGAAGCGAGCGCTCTACCACTACACCACTACCGCATATATATATATATTAATTATCTTCGCTTCCAACAAGTCTGCAAGCAACCACTAATTAGTGTTGGAAGTTACTGGAAGAGAAAAAATGAAGATTGTAGAGCAAGATAACAATTGACAGACGACTTACAAGATTGCAAATTATATGAATCAGGAAAGCAAGATGAAGGAAGCGAATTGTTCGCGGAAAAAAACTAGACGAATAAGAGTTTTTGGAGCACTTAGGAACAGTAACAGAAAAAAGATGAGACTTAATTGAATGACAAGTAACACGAGAATGAATTTTAGTAGATGGCACAAGAGACGCTAGCTCTTTTAAGCAGTGCCCATTATAGTATTTGTAGAAAAGAGAAAGAGAAGTAACATTACGGCGATGTGACAGAGGTTGAAGGTTGGCTGCAAGAGCAGGTCATGTTTACAATGTGTTTTTGCACCTTGTTTACAATGCATTTTTGCACCTTGTTTAAAAGAGAAAGGGCATCATTAGATGAGCCGCCCCAGATATGGCAACAGTATTCCATACAAGGCCGGATTTGAGATTTATAGAGATAGAGAATAGAATCCAGAGTAAGAAAGTGACGAGCTCGATAAAGAAAAGCAACTTTAGCAGATGCTAATTTTGCAAAGGATTTGATATAAGGTTTCCAAGAAAGATCAGAAGTAAGAGTTAGTCCTTGAAGATGAAGGGTAGATTACTCATCGAGTACATTACTGTTCATAAATATAGGAAGGTCTAAATTATTGCGATAACGATTGGCTGAAAAAAATTGAGTTTTATCTAAATTAAAGTTCACCAGCCACTGTGAGCTCCTTTTCAAGCTCAGATGCCCCCTGCAAGCAATCAGAGGGAGTTGGCTTCTTATCGTGACAAGAATAAATGGTAGTATCATCAGCGAACAATGCCACCTTAGATGTGAGAATATCTGGAAGATCGTTAATGTAAATTAAAAAGAGTATAGGGCCAAGGATTGAACCTTGCGGAACCCCTGAGGTTACAGAATAAGAAGAAGAGTGCTGTCCATCAAGGACAACTTTTATACTCTGATTGGAAAGGAAGGATTCAATAATCTTAAAGATATTTCCAGATACACTGTAAGAAGAAAGCTTATGGAGAAGACCAGCATGCCAAACTTTATCAAACGCTTTAAAAATGTCAAGAGCGATGGCCTTAACCTCTCCACCTTTATCTAATGCGCATTAAAACCTATCGGTTATTACTGATAGCAAATCAGCCGTAGAACGAGAAGATTGAAATCCATATTGATGATCAGAAAGTAGGTTATGAGATTCGAGATGACAGATTAAGTGTTTGTTAATTAAAGATTCAAAAACTTTGCTTATGATCAACCTGTTTGATGGCTAAATCAGGTAGAACGCAACTAGTGGATTTTCTACTTCTGTGCTTAGATACTTGAACATGTTGCTTGTGAATACTCTTTAGTTTAACAACATGAGACTTTGCTATAGTTGGAGTATTAGCCTTTAGGCAGAAAATCTTCTAAGAAAAACTTCATCTACAACTGTGTTGCAGGATATTGAAAGAGTTGACTTTTGATAATCATTTCATAAAAAAATTTACATAGGACAACGCTACTTGTTGGGAACTGACTCGGCCCATCTATTGTTAAGAGAATATGTCCAACTAGCCAAACAATTGTAGTTGATCGTGTTGCTTTGCCTGAAGCAGCCATCTTTAGTAATATTTTTATATTTTTTTACCATAATAAAAAGAATAAAATAGAAATTTAATAAACATAAAGTTCTCAAAGTCCAATAATAAAACAATTAAGTCTTCTATGATACTTCCCCCCCCCCCCCCCTCATCCTATTTTCCCTACATTTTTCAATAATGAAATTCAAAATATGTATTTAGAAGCGATTTTTGGTAAATAATGGTGAGGCAGTAAATCTAAATTTGCTCGTACTTTCCAGTCTTCTGTGAACTATCTATGTTGTAACATAATAATTTATATTATTTGTTTTCAGATCAATTTATACCATTATTTTGTATGAAATAAAAATAAAATTACAAAATTAAGTTTTTAGATAAATTCTGGTCAATTTAGGGTTCCAAAATAGGGTTTGGGGGACCACTTCCCATTATCAGTTTGCAAAAAAATTTTAAATAAATACTTTTTATAACAGACCTCACCAAATAAAGGGTTGTGCGATTACAGATTTATATATATATATATATATATATATATATATATATATATATATATATATATATATATATATATATATATATATATATATATACAGTGACGTATCCAGGAATAATTTGGGCATACCGGTCTAAAAATCCTGTCTATGTTAGAGGACCTTTTTTTTTTTTTTTTTTTTTTTTTACTCGAATTTAAATACAATTATTTGTATATATTATATAATGATTTATCGCTAATCGCTACTTTTCATTTACTTGCTCCATACACTTACTATTTATAAATTAATACTAATTATTAAATTATTAAATATTAAATATTATTAACTAGAAATAAAAAGAGTATGATTTCATAAAAAAACAATAACTATAACGTTTATTAAACAATATTTGTATGACTCTTTGATATAAACTTCATAAGATTTATTACATAGCGTATTTAAAACAAGGTAAATTCATTCAAAATTTTAATTCATTCAAAAATTCATAACTTTTTTTTCTTACTATTCAAATAAAGTTTTTTGGCGCGAATATTAAAATGTTATTTTAATTATTTAAATAAATGTTACTTTAATTTTATGTTTTAAAAACTTTCATTCGTTTTATTATTTAAAGTATTATACAAACAATTTTTACTGTTGTTTGAAATGAAAAAGTTTAAAACTCATCTAGTTTAATCGCTTCGAAAATTATGTTATGAAAATGTAAGCGGAGGAGAAACTCATATTAATGTATTTTAAAAATGTTATTTAAAAATACTAAGTGTCATATTTTAATCCAATCAAAACGTGCGTTTTACATTTAATCCAATTACAACATATTCTATATTTCATCAACATGAATTCGAATTAAGCATTTTGGTTGGCTTAAAATACATTTATAATGTATTTTAAATGAGACTTTTAAAATACACTTATAATGTACTTTAAAAGTCGTTTTTCAAATGTTGATATTTATGTAATTGT